CCCTCTTCCCCTCCCTCCCTCTGTCTTCCCTCTCTCCCTCCCCTTTGCCATATTGCCCAGGTCAGCTTCAAACTCACTCTGTGTGTGGTGCTAGGGGTCAAACAAGAGCCTGCAACATATTAGCAAAATTAATTTTGACGGGAGTGTTGGGAGAGCATCCTGTTACTGGCCAAAGGGTTTGCTTCTCTGGTCAACGCTAGACCTTAGGGACTGACGAGAGCTATACAGACAGGAGACTGCACACACATGCCCTGTATTCTTCTGAGGGCTGAGTGACTAAAAACTCTGTCTCTCTCTCTCTTTCTTTCTCTCTCTCTCTCTCTCTCTCTCTCTCTCTATCTCTATCTCTATCTCTATCTCTATCTCTATCTCTATCTCTATCTCTATCTCTATCTCTCCCAGGACTCTTTGCATTTGAAGCAAGTACTCTGTCACAGGAACTCCAGTCCTTGGATTAGCTTTTGTTTTGAGACAGGGCCTCAGTAAGCTATACAGGTTGGCTTTCAGTTCACTCTGTAGAGCATAAAAGTCCTGGCAATGCTCCTGCCTCAGCCTCCTTGAGTGATGGAAATTACAGACATGTGCTATCAGGCCTGGCTTCTTTATTAAATGAACACAGTATGCTAGGCTCCCGGCTAGTGGGGGTGGGGTGGCCTATAAGAGTCCTAAGCCTGTGTGGTAGATACAGATGTCATTTTTATTTCTCAGTTAAAGAAATGGATACTTCAAAAGGGCCCATCTTGGGGCTCAGTGGGTATAGGTGATTGCCACCAAGCCTGATAACTGGAGTTCAATCCCCGAGACCCACATGGTGGGAGGAGAGAACTTACTCCTGCCAATGGTTCTCTGACCTCCATATGCACTCCATGTCATACGTGTGCATGCACATACAGAGAGATAGAGAGAGAGAGAACACAAATAAAAAATTTCTTGAAGGCTACATTTCAGGGTTGAGCTCCCAGTGACCAAGTGTAGAGAGTGTCAGGGTAACTGGTGTGAACAAACTTTAGAGACTGTTTCAAAGATGGAGAAACAGAGGCCTTCTTCCCTTGACTCTCTTTCCCCATAACCCACTTCTCCTCTCCTCTCTTCCCCACAGCCAAAGCTCTCTCTCTCCCTGCTTCAAAAACATCTAAGCTGCCGAGAGCCAACCCAGTACCACCTTGTGAGCCCAGTGTTTCAAGGGGCAGGCTTCCAAACAGGGTAATAATCGTCCCATTAAAATTAATGCCCATGAAGTGCACCGTTAAAAGCGTGGAGATTAAAAGGGAGGGGGGATTGTTCAATTTAAATCCAAAGGGCTTTTTAAATAGACACTGTATCTTCAATCTTGGACCACTACAGTCGGGCAATGGTTCAGCTGCCCTCTGTAAGGATGGCTGGGATTAGGGAGGGAGAGTCCTGGGAGATGGGCAAGGAGTTCTGGCCAGAAGCAGAGGGGACCAAGGTTTTATTTGAGTCCACTGCATGCCAGGCACTTGGCACGGGGTTCTTTCATTTAATCTGGGCCCTGGTCCTGGGAGGGAGGTATTATTATCAGTCTCAGAATACAGAAGCCAATGTAAAATCACAGCTAGAGCTTTCTGCCTGCTCCTGGGTGCCCTAGTTTAGGGCCAGGCTTTGCTTTGCACTAACCCCTATCTTGGGCAAGAGGCCTTATGGACTGGGCCCTTGGCTTCCTCATCTTGAAAACAGGGTACCAAGAGATTCTCTGTAGGAACACAGGCCAGGACCTTGGCAGGCAGCTAGCATGGAAGGTACTCAGTAGTGTGGGCAGTTCGGGCACAGTGACTGTGACTGGATGATGGTGCGGCCACCAAGAACACCCAGTCACTTCACCAAGCTGCCAAGGGAGCCAGCAGCCGCTGATGCAGCTGAGAGTTAGTCAAGCCGCAGGCTGCAGACCTGTCATTCTGGGCTCAGGAGGATGAGGCAGGAGAGTTTCTGGCTAAACCGCAGCCTGGGCTACAAAGCAGCAGTTTTAGAAACAAAACAAAAGTAACAATAACATCACAAAATCACACACACACACACACACACACACACACACACAGTGGGCTCATAGTTTTTTGTCTTTTGGGGGTTTGGTTTTTCCTTTTAAACCTATCTGTCTGTCTGTCTGTCTGTCTGTCTGTCTATCTGTCTGTCTGTCTATGTTCTATCAATCTATTTATCATCTGTCTGTCTATTTTATGCCAGTGCATACATGTAGCACAACATGTATATGGAGGATATAGGTCAGAGGTTAGCCTGTGGGTATCAGTTCTGTCCTTGGATCACACGGATTCACCGGATTCATCCGACTGATATTAAATCATCAGGCTTGGCTGCAAGCCCCCTTACCCACAGAGTCATCCCTGACTCCTTGGGGTTTTTTAAATATAAGATTCTTTCTGTAACCCTGGCTGGCCTGAAACCTCTATATGGACCAGGTTGCCTTTGAACTTGTGATTCCCCCTGCCTCTGCTTCTGTAGTTCGGAGACTGGAGGATGACTGCTAGATGCTACTCTACCAAGTGTACGGTCATGAAGAATCTTTTCTAACGGACCAGAGACCTCACCAGGCCTTAACAATACTCTGCAGGTCTGAAGGGGCCATGGAAGCTTCCTCAACCAGCCTGCTCCTCCAGGTCCCAAATCCAAAGCTTGTCCAAATTCCAGTGGCTTTGACATGGTGGGCGGGTCTCTCTAGCACCCTAAGGAGTCCCTGGAGCCCCCTCGCTGGTCAGCACCCTCCCGGGAGGACTTCCCATGCTGGAGTTGGGGCGGAACTGGATTGGTTTTCCTTCGGGTTAGGTAACCTCACTGGGCATCAAGCCAGTGCCTTACAGGGTCGCCGGCAAACCATGACCCCGTTAAAAAAGATAAAGCCCACAAAGCAAGCAGGCAACAAGAACTTCTCTCTAGAGAACCACGTTCTTGACTGGGGGAGGGGGAATGTCTTGAGTGCAAAGGCGACTCGCCCAAGTTGGAGTCCAACCCCACCAGCCCCAAGTCCCATGCCTTCATTTCAGGGTTCAGGCTCTCACCCCGGGATGCGCTGAGGTCAGGTTATCAGAAGGGGGTGTGAACGCGTGTCAGAAATGTGTGCACCGACCCGAAAACTGACAGGTGCCCCCCAAACCGGGCAAGTCAGCTTGAATCCCCCTGCCTCGCACCACCCACGCCACACAACGGCCCCGGGGATCTTTTCGCATTAACAGCCGAATTCTCCCGGAGCTCCATCCACAGTGTGCACCGAGCTGGCTTTCCAGAGCTATGTCCGAGCTGGAATCTCCGGCAGCCCGGGAAGCGAGACAGCGAACGCCCCGGGCCAGCATCCCCGAAGCCCCGCATCCCCGCCTGTCCCCGCCCTGCCGGCGTCTCGAGGGTTAAAAGTTACCTCTCGGCTTTTTCTCCTGCACACACTCCCCACCCCCCGGGCCGGATGATGTAACCCCCTCCCCGCGCCCTCCCCGCCCCCTCCACCATGTGACACTTTAATTAATAATAGCGCCGTCAGCACAACAAACGCGCGGCGCAGGGCGAAACTTGGGGTCCAGGGAGGCTCCTCCGCACGCCATGTGCCCGTGTCCCCGGCATCGCGGCCGCGGGCCCCCGGCCGTGTGCGGTTGCGGCGACGCTCGCCCCGGGCTGCGCTGGGCGGCGGCGCAGGTGACCGCGCTGCGGCTGCAGGCGCTGGGCGACGAGCTGCACCGACGCGCCATGCGGCGTCGCGCGCGGCCCCGGGACCCGCTGCCCGCGATGC